CCAATAAGAAAATCGTTGAGGGAAAAATAAAACTTTTTTTTCTCTCTTCAATTATTTTGGAACGTGAGTTGCGCTTTTATTTAATCGTCTGACGATGTTATGTTAGATGTATTGCTTGGGGTTTTATCTTTTTTGGATCAACGTAGATCTGTTGTCGAACGTACATCAGATTTGAAAATATATTCGACGAATATACAATTTCTATTCGTGAAATATACATAAAATACGCGATGAAATATACACCATTTAACATAGAATGCACGCCAAATATACTCCTAATATACAGACAACAATTTGTGCATGAACACCCCTCGATACGCTTGTATTTGTATTTTTGTTCGTAATTTTTGTGACGTTTGTGGCTTTTTTTGTGGTGTCTGTTATTCAAACTTCTTGGCTTGTCAATGTTGTCGAAGAAATAAGCACTCGATGTTACACACACATCAGTGAACGTGTACAAGTACATGTATATTTAATTTCGATCAAATCAAAGAGAAGCTCATCACCCAAAAGCGTTTCCACACAAGTCTGACTATTGGAATGTATGACCTTTAAATTAAAAGACCATTATCAGATGCCGATATAAACTGCTCAAACATCTCAAAAGTTCTTTGTTCACCGTCTAGATCAAATAGCAAATGAGTACCTGGAAACTATCGCATAAAAAATTGCAGAAAATGCACAATCAGAACCACTTCAAATGGAATTCGAATGATTTTTGATGGAATTTGCATTTGCTGTCACATCGGCGTAAAAGCATTCATGCATTTTATTCATATATTCAAAAATATAAATTGCTATCACAACACATAAAATGGTCAACTCATTTTCTTACATACACATCGTCGATAGCTTATGGTGATTGTGCATTAACTGCATATTTTTGGAGTATTTTATGCGAATTTAAAGTGAAAAATTTTTTTTGAATGAATATTATTACCGTCTGCGAAGCAAACTGCTTTTTGCAGTTCTTTTTATTGTCCTTTCACATTCACGTGATTTTCTCAAAGAAAGGCAGAGGGAAAGAGAGACAACATTCTATAATGCATGGAAATAAAAAACAAAGAGTTGTATTCTCATTTTGTAAATGACACAATAAAAAAAAGTGAGCTTTTGTTGTCTCACCGTTTTTCGCCAACACAAATGTGTTGTTGAGAGTAAAAATGACGTTCACTAAACCAACGCCTACATCATTAAAGCACAATATACTTTGTCTGATATCTTGGCAAAATTGTAAAGAATGAAAAGATCAATAACTTTATCGAGTCCACGGCGGTCATCCACCTACATGTGACGTACACAAAGAACATCCATTTTAAGTAGAACTATACTCTGTATGGTCGTGATTTTATCTAAAATCACTTTTATTCTCAGGCGATTTTCTTCGTCTATTTCTGTCTAACGTTTATTTCATTTCTACTCGCCGCTTTTATTTACCTATTTCGAAATATATCCAGGATATATTACGATTATTGCCTATGTCAACCATGGCACAAATGTGTCGCATAACACATAGATGAACACATGCGACGGAAAAATCTAAGCCGAAAAAAAATGTATTCACAGGTAAAACCATAAAGATGCATGTTTTTATACATCCAATTTCAAATTTTCCACTTCCATAATACAAAACTTATAACGAAAATGTATTTAATTACATAAACCGAGCCTTACGAAAACGCTTTGTGCCACTTTGAATAATTACAGATAGTGTCAATGAAATCTACACAACCAAGGGGCAAACTACGACAATGCTAATAATTCAATCTTGTGTATCCCGAAAATTCGAAAGGAATATATGTTCATTTGGAAATGATTTCAATGTTGCGTTCAAGTATTTTATGGTCACTGGAGCCAAATAGTGTGTCCAAAATACAGGGAATTATAAAACTTCACAGAATATAACATAGAATTGTTTGGATTTTTTTTTTTTTTTGAATTTTCGGGATACTACATTAAATTGAGAGGATTGCGAAGCTGTTGTAGTTTTCCCCTTGTACACAATACATCCGTTAAACAAAAACCAGGTGAATAAAACAAAATAAGGTGACACACATGTAATATTTGCGATGCTACAATGAATCAATAGAACAACAGCATTGTGAACATTTCTCTTTTGTTTAAAGTTAAAAAAATATATACAAAAATATATCACTGGGTTCTGTCAGAATCGTTCCCCAATACGTACTCTTTTTCTTTGGTTTTGGCTAACGCGTTTTTTTGCGATCAATAGATTGCATTATATTTTTGCGGATTTTATCAGTAGAAAACAAAAAAACCGTTATTCATTGTGGCACGTTTGAAAAGAAATAATGGAAAAACTACTCGACCCTCTTGTATTGTTTGCTGGTGTATTCAAGTTGAACACGAAGAAAAATGTATAAATTCGATATCATTTGTTAAATAAACGAGTATACGCAAAAAAATGATCACCCTTTTCAACTTTTTACATACCATAACGAGCCAATTTTGACGAAAAGTTTCAAAGGTCACTCAATTATTTTGGCAAATAATTTAGTTTTTGTGCAAATAAAAAAAAAAAATAAAGGGTTGTTGAGCTCTTTTTTATTTTCACTGTTGCGTATTCGATGGATTTCATTGATTTGCATATTGTTTCTTCGATGAATAATGCGAAATCCATGAATCATCGAACTTTCCGTCGGAATAAATAAGATACGAAAATATTGAAGGAACATTCGAGTGGCTTGGATGAAGAAGTGCCGATTGTTGTTTTGTGAGTGGGTACCAGAATATATTATCATAATTTTAGTTGAGGTATGGAAAAAAAAGGCAGACACAAAAGTGAAATCATCAGTCATCACTGGATACTGAAGGTAATCAAAGTCAATTAAAATAATTATAGGAAGCTTTTGTGGATTTTTTTAAGAAAGACCTATTCTGATTTATTTATTTTCTGATATAACAAAATAGCGATGCAATTTAAATAAGTAAAAAAGGCGTATTGCTCCATGGATTAAATTCTTCAGTATGGAAATTGGTTATTACAAAAAAAAATCTTTTAACAAATGTAACTTTTCACGCGAAAAAACCATAGTCGTAACAAATGAAATGTGGTCAGTGTAGGAAACAAAATCAAAAATTCCGTTGACAGCTTTAAAATGTAACATTTTGGTTTAAATGCGATCTTATTGCATCAAAACGCTTTCAAACCGAATGTTATCATGTCACAAATTGAACTGTTTCTTTCTTTTTTTAAGCTCATATTTTATTTAAAACTTAAATTGACGACAATCCAAATCTATTTTTAATTTCAATAACAACATTCAACTGCAATCACATCGATGAAGATTTTAACAAATCGAATTATTTAATTTACAGACGATCAAGAGCATTCAAGAAAAATTTATAATCAACTAGATTTTTTCCCTTTTACCGTAATGTACTGTCAATGTCATGTTCACAAACTAATAGCTGAATTGAACATGTGACTGACATTTTAACAATTCCATCGATAATAAAAGAAAGCTCATATTGAATGAAATAGGTTAATTTAAGCCAAAATCTATCCAATAAATGAAAGTGGAAATAGAATAAAATCATGAATACAATTAAGAATGATCCAAGACATGATATGCGTGCTTTCTAAGCCACTTACATTTGTCATTCGAACATGTACAAGTATTTTATTAATATGAATATTATAATTAAATGAAGTTCTCATTCGTCTACAATAATCATAGATTATGCAACACATTATCAATAATATTTCTTTTTCTCTCTCTCTATCCCAATACAATTGATTAAAAATGTATCTTCTAATTTGCATCGAAAGCCACGCGATGTTTTAATTGATAAATATTCAGCGATAATTTCACTTTCCATATTTGTTTCGTAGAACGATCTCTTTTCACTTTCAACTTACAAAATGAAAGGTTTATAGCTGAAAAAAAAAAAAATCGTTTTCACTACCATTTTGTTTAGAGTTCATTTCAGAGTTGGTAAATGCACCTCACAAGTGCGCGCCCTTACAAGTTGTGTGCAACTCTTCTTGGGTGCGCGCACCCGATTCCATATAAATGTTAGGTGCGCGCACTTGGAATTTTTTTCTTGCTTATTTCAATATAAAGAATTGAAAAAAATGTATTTTTTACTTAAAACTTTCCATTTTTTATTTGGTCATCTTCAATATATCAATACAAAATACTGTCAAATTGTGTTTCTTATATATTTTGACAGCTACAAGTAGCCGCCTGCTGGTTGTCTTTTGAACCACATTGCTTTACATGTAAACAGTTTTTGCATGTGAAAAAATTCAAAATGGAAAAAATTAAGTAAAAAATACATTTTTGACGATTTTTTATATTGAAATAAGCAAGAAAAAAATTCCAAGTGCGCGCACCCAACATTTATATGGAATCAGGTGCGCGCACCCAAGATGAGTTGCACACAACTTATAAGGGCGCGCACTCGTGAGGTGCATTTACCAACTCTGGTTCATTTTGTGGAACGAGATAAATATTTTGGCTCAGTATTCAAACAAGATTGAAATGGATAAAATCCATGATACTCCATGCGGTTGATCAGCGACGGAAATTCATTAAACAAATAAACTCGGCATAATAATTTACAGTTTTGGACAATGCAAATATTCAAAATGCAATAATTTTCAACAAGCTGTATATATTAAGTAGCTTAATAATACTCAATAATCCATTTGCAGCAATACTATATATGCTCCATTTTTTACTCCACCAAAAAAAATTGTTTATTACATGCTATCACACTACATTCGTTTGATCAAAATTACACGGAGCTTTTCAATTTTGAGAGTTTTACGCAAACAAAAAATGTGAAAGAGACAATTTTAAAATTTACCTCAACATTTTGAAATGTTATTTCTTCTTCCGAAATAGTTCTAAGCAAATTATTTATAGTTATCGTAATTTGTTGCTTTATTTCGGAATTTTGTTAAAAATAGAGAGAGAGAGAGAGAGAGAGAGAGAGAGAGAGATGCTGTGAAATAAATAGTTTAAATTTACCTTGGTCAGATGATTGCAAAGCAGCATGCAAGTTCGATGGAATGAAATAATCTGAATTCAAAAGTTTATTCTTTTTGCTCAAAATATTCTAATCACCTTGTTTTTTTTTTCTTTCTTAAATGAGTTTATTGTTCAATCTTTTATTAGAATCTTAAATGCCATTTGCATTGAACTTTTTTTGGTTGAAAAAAAAAATCAAAACAACAACTTTGAAAACAACAAATGCCTGTCAACAATAAATTGTGTATATACGATGAATCCATAAATTGTAAATTAACGGTTTATTTTTTTAAATTATGCACAACAAAATCAACGATAATTTATATGTTAAAGTTTATTGTTTTAAAAATTAATTATTGAATTGGTTGGTCTTTTTCGGTTTTTGTTTTCTTTTTTTTTCAGATGCACACTGATCTTCTCCGTTATTAATTGTCACACACGATATGGTTCAATCAACACACGAAAGCAGATGCAAATGGTGAGAAAAATAAAATAAAATCCCAAATCAAAAGGAAAATACTATTAAAATGATGATCGGAAACTGTGAAAATTTAAATAGTTGACTAATCTGTTTTGTTGTACAAAAAAAGCGCACACGTTAAACTTCGTCTCGGTAGAAAAAAATTTGAACACCGGACCGTTACACGACTTATGTCAACCATCACAAACGTTCAACGAATAACTACTGCCTGTTATTGTATGAGCTAACATGAGCATCTAGAACGAAGAATGAATAACGGTTTAGAACACACTTTTCGATGTGTTATCGGGCGCTAAACGATTTCTCTTCTCTTTCGATGATATAGAATTGATTGTGTGTGCGCAAGCGTTTTATCCACATTTTTACCCAAAAACCAAGCGCTCCATCGCATTGGAGCACACACACCGTATGCAATAGAGAAATGTGGATGGATTGTGTGCACACAGTACTCGTTCAACATCAAACGAAACAAATGAGAAAGAATGAGAGGAATACACGAATTGAGAAAAGTTGAAAGTATAACAAAAAAAACCGAATCGTTACGTTCTAACCACCGTAACACCTAACCATGAACATAACTGGGAAGATTGTTGTTGCTTTTCTTTGCTGTTGTGCGCGTATATTTCTAGTATTAAAGAGAATAACAGCTTAGAGAGAAAATAAAGAGTAGAAAAAGAAGAAGAGAAAAAAGTCTGTTATTATTTAAATCGAAAGCATACAACACACATTGCGATACATGTGGAGCGAATGAACCGAGGTGAAAATGGACAACGCTTTTGAAGCGATGGCTGTTCAGCCCAAGTGAATTGTATGCGCTTAAGTTTGAATTACATGACACGCTTGCACCAATATCAACTCGTTGCATTCAAAGGACTCAAAAGTGCAACAGAGAGATGAAACAAAAATGAAACAAACACACGCATTCCAGTACTTGAAATGGATGTACGAGAACATTTGTTGCACTATGCTGTGCGCAACCATGAAATAGATTCAATGAAAATCAAATGGCCTATAATTACACATCTACATGGATCTGATTAGGTTCTAAGTAATGACAAGCATTTTTGATCGATTACTGCATTGAATTGATTGGTATTGATTACTACCGTATCCAACGGTCACAAAGATGCAACCATATTGAATAATGATTGCAAGCAAAACCTTTTCATTCAATATTCGACTTGTTTCGCTTTTACTGTCTCACTTTATTTCTTGTTTTCCTTATATGATGTAGCTCACAATCGATTTGACTAACGATAAATAAACACAGCGAAATAGAAAAATAGAATGTCTAGTAAATGATTTATGGTAAAAATGCCAACGTTTTTGGTCTCGATTATATGATCACATAGAGCTAAGTCAATAAATTACATGTATCTACTCGAAAATATGTGTGTCAGTGCCATTTTAAGGATGTGCAAATGCCAGAGGCTGTGTAAACTTTTTCTAAGCTCTTCCGTTTTAACATTTCAGGATATGACATTTCTATGGAAATTGCAATCGCACACACATACACACACTACTTTCTCATACATATATGCAAACAAAAATGATTGCGTCGCGTATTTATACGTTCTATATTGCCATTCTTTTCTTTTATACATCAATCTACCATTGCTCTTTCCTTCTTTGGCCAATATTGAATGAAATATAAAACGATACACGTTCGTATTTTTACTTGACACAGACTAAAGCAACCGATGCATGCAACTGCCGAAATGACAATGGTAACGAAGAGCATCATTGGCACCGAAGAAATGCGTCTTTTGTTTAACACTTAAATCTATTCTTCACGCCACCGAATACAGCACTGAATGAATTTTAAATTGGTTTTTATGCGTATCATATATGAATTGGTGTTTGTGGTTGCAAATTCATATACTTCAATCTGTGGAGATTTAAATAGTTGGAAAATTTATCGTATTTATTAGTTTTTCACACTTTTATCACTTGATTAAATTTAAATAGTGGCAAAAAATGCAATAAAACCATCTAAATTGATTAAATATATTCACATCCAAATTTCACAAAATTGTTTTCAAAAACGTTGCCCATTTCATAAATATTGCCATATTTTATTGGAAAATTCCAGACAATATATTGAGCTGACTATTCATGTGAAATGAAACGAAATAGCCAGGTAAATGTGACATTTCGATCTTGTGATATGAATTGAGAGAGAGCCCAATAAGTAACTGTGCCTGTAGACACCTAAAATACTGAAATAAATGTCTGCACATACTGATTTTAACTTAGTAATGTGACTACGGTCCTTGCTTGCAATTATTTCCGTAACCAGTGGTTGCCAATTAACGTTGATGCATGTCTTTCTGATACATTTTCGTCGTGGTTCAAGTTTAAGTTCAGTTACATATTCTGCAGATATATTCCATAAAAAGCCATTCACAGTAGACTCATGAGACACCTCATGCCTTTTATGATATTTACACATTCAGTCTCAAGTGAAAAAGTCATCATTGTCGTTTAAATGAGAGCAACTCGTGCAAATGCTTTTGCACAATCATTACCATAAAAATTACTCTAGATCTATCATGTTTGGCGCTTTTTCGTCTCTATTTCTCTCTCCTGCTCTGTCTCTCTTGAATATGCGTTAATTGAATAAATTTGTGTACCGAGTGGTTGCAGACAACTAATTAATATACGGTAAAAAATGAATATCAAACCACATTAGCCGCCATTGTAGTTTACTCAGCTTGCTGAAATTAATATCGATTTTGATGCGTTTTTGAAGCGAATTTTTATATTCAATTTGGTCTGAGATAGAGGTTATATTGGATTTGCTAGGGGTTTTTGGGGGATAAGACCCCCTCCGGTCTTTTTACAATGGCCTCTTGGAATTGTTGACCGTGCGTGTGGATCTACCTATGGATTTGCATGTCACATATTTTTCTGTTATATATTCACATGAAAAATGTAGCGTGCAATACCCTGAATTTAATCTTGTTTACGCGTTAACCAATTTAACAATAAACAATTATATCGTATGCATCTATCTGATGAGAATGTATCATATAATGTATAGTTTGTCAGTCTATTACGTGCCATTTGTGTGTGTGCATACATAATATTTAAAATCAATTTTATTTTGGATCATGAAAATCAAAAGCGAATTTAATCTGCATCAAACGACTCGTATATCAGTTGAATGGTAAATTATGCAAATATTGTGTTTAAAATAAAAGTTATGTACTCTGTTCATGCCCCTTTGTGTCAACGGATCGGCTCGCAACAAAAAATAAACATGAAGCTCAATTTGGATTTCGGATATCGATCGATTTATAGGTTTGGCCTCAAATGATGTGTTTTCTCTTTTTTTCAAATTAATTTTGCCTTTTGAAATATCAGGATTAGCTTACATTCAAATAATATGCAAATTTTTTACAAAAAGAATTTCTCAATAAATAAACACCACGTGATGCTTGACGATCGTGCACACACTCACACAGTACGTTAATAATGCTGTAATTTATTTGCTAAAGATTTTTTACATCGCAGAAACCAAGTGACCGTGATAGATAACAAAAAACCGTACAAAAGACAGATCTATCATCAGTTAGAATTCAAATGTTTAAAATAAAGCAGGGCATAATTGAAATATACCAAAATTAAACGAATCGAAAACTAAGACGAATTTCGAACGAAAACGAAACAGTACTGTACGCAGCATATGAACGCAGAGTCTGAACTTGTTCTGGGTCAATCCCGAAATATTCGGAAAGCAAAAAAAAACACAAAAAAAAAAACGAAAAAAAACATGTCATCATGGTTCAATAACAATATTTTTGGAAAGCAAAAAACGCAAAAACCATGTACTGGGTCAATCTCAAAAATTTCGAGAAGCTTTATTTCAACAAAAGATTTTCGAAATATTCGAGATTTTCGGGATATCCGATATATTCGGGACTATCTTGTGTTTTTTTGCGTTTTTTTACCCAGAATGTGTTTTTTTTCTTTGCATTTATTCGAGATTACCGAGACTAGAGGCAATCAAAAAACGATTTTTTAAAGTTTTTTTTTGTGTTGTTTGACCCAGATTGTCTTTTTGCGTTTTTTTCCTTTTTTTTCGTTTTTTTATTTTTTTTTATTTTCAAAATTACTAATGCAGCGTCTGAGCTTAGCGTCCGAATAGCAGCGGCTCAATAATAGTGAGCCGTTCGTTCACACTTTTAGTATCAATGTCCAAAACCTTTATCCAGATATGGATCCACCATCGTATATACCCTGAAATAAAGCAAAGTTAGCCAAAGTAAATGTGATTAAAAATGCGAAATCGCACCCTATTCGGTAAATGATAAATTAGGGTAGTTTTTTTATTCTTTTTTTCATAAGATGATTACAAAAGGAGATAGTTGACAGTTGTTCTTATTTTGCAGTTCCAAAGTTAAATTTCTTTCCGTAAAAATAAAATAAAAGGATCAAAATACATAATTATTCAAAAAAAAAAAAAAAATCAAACATGCTTTGAGGAAATACATACTTTTAGCTTCTATAGTTTCTTTCAAATGTCATTGGAAATTTCTATGAAAGCCGGTTTAAATTTTAAAAAAAGCGCACCACTTTAATACATGAATGTGTGCCTCGAGTAATATGGATGATATGATATGTGATGATGTGTAGGTAGATATTTATTTTTCGGCACCACCTCTATCATGTTAAAAAGCTCATCTAAAACAATATCATACGCATTCATTACACACATTTTGAAAGCGATAATATTTAACAAAATTTAAATCTCTTTGATATGGTTGACATGCTATATCGTCAGCCAGTCAATCGACCGACAAGCCGAGTCATTCATTTAGCGAAATGAATGTCTAATAGCCAACCCTTTGGGCCTGTTTGGCCAAAAAAAGATAGTTTGTTTGCATAAATTTCGGATATGAATTCTGGGTTTTGGGCATGAATGCAATACAGTACAATTACGTGAAATAATATAGGATGTACAGTGCGTTGCGGTGCGTGCATAATAAACTTGTGAATTTGAATAATGTTTACTGAAAGGTAAGACTATTTCTATTTTGAGAATTAAACTATTTTCATTCATATCATGAGTTTACCTATTTTCGATAGAAAAATTTGAACAATCCAAGTAAATTAATATATTTTCAAGAGGTCCTTGTGTTCACCCAAACAAATATGTTCAAATGGCCTAACATTCTTTGCAACATTTTATAACGTTGAATTTATTGGGAAACAATACCCCAATCTTCAATCTAAAAGAAAATAATATACATCTTTATAAACCGCAGAGTCCTAGTTTTGGATTTATACAGCATCTAAAATGTTTATATTTCATCTTGTTGGATTTATACAATTGTGTGTGTGTGTGTGTGTGCCGAAAAGTGGAAACAAGTGAATGAAATAGTATATAAAAAGCCGGAAAGCATAAAACAAATTATTCAAATTGTACAAAAGTGAAAATAATCTATTTATTTGTTTTGTGTGTGTATTGATGGACTACAGAACGAACGATCAACGTTTACGCTGCAAAAATCAATCAAAATTTGCATGAACCAAAGAAAATCATTATATATCTGCCAGAAGAGTTTTATCGTACGCTCTCTCATCTTTGTAATAGATAAAAACAGTTCAATACCATTATAATTCAATTCGCCACTAACGGACACGAAAGAGAAATAATTTTCATTTCAAATTTTATAATTTACTTCTATTGGGGGTAATCGCATACGTGCGAAATGATATCAGTATATATTATTACTTGAAACTTTCAATGTCGTATTTCACTCTGTATTCTGGGATAATTCTGATTTATAGAAGAGAAAGAAATTTAAATAACACCACAATGACTTTGTCTATAGATCTTTTTGATTGCTAAAAACAAATAAATCTATTTTGGATGCATTTCGATTTCTGTCATCCAATATGAGGCATGCTTGCGAATGTACATTTTTATGTTTGTCTTTTTAAATAAAAAAAAAGATAAAAAAGTACAATCATTAAGGTGCTATCTAGTTTTCTTTCTATAATTTATGGACTTGCATTTTATTGTTTGTACTGAATATACTGATTAAATTAAATTTGCTTAATAGCAGTGATCAATCATTATTTTCGTTTGAAGTTTAGCCGGTCTAACTGAAATGATATACTTGTTTTTGTGTAACAAACATAATGAAATCTCTTCATTTTCGAACGAAAAGTGTACCATATATGGTATGAATATATAGCTTTCAATTCTATGGTTTCCAATTTAAATTGTACTTTCTACTCTACTATAGTAGAATTCAGTAGAACAATCGATGTTTCTTCTTTGTGATTTTTTATTTAAAAGACATTTTTCTTGTTGTTTTGAGGAAGAGATAAATGGACATTGATTAAATTAATGAATAATTGAATATGACATTGTATTGTTATTCAACATCAATATCCCATTTAGCCGTTTAATTTCCTTAACCATTTCGTACATATCAAATTGAAATGGTATGTAAAGAGCTGTGGACATTTTCCTTTCTTTTATATTGATACATATTCCGTCTCATATAATTTCCGCATTTATGCAGCCAGCAATCGGTTTGGCTTTGTGGTTGTATCCTCATCGTGCAAAGAAACATTGGCACCATTCTAATGAAGTATTTATCAATTGCAAATGAATAAATAATAAACGGCATCATTTTATTCAGTATATTTTTAATATGCATAGAATCTTTCTATTCATTACTTGATTTCGGTGAGTTTTTTTTATGTAAGCGGCTACGTCAATCCAAGGCAATTTAGAATAAATAAATTGTAAATGTGTCAATGAATCAGAATAATATAGTTTTGTAACTGCAGTAACAATTATCTATACGAGGGTTGCTCCATAATTTTTTTTAAAAACATATATAACACAGTTGTTTTTTGTCGAAAATGGTTTTATTGTTTTTCAAAATATTCCCCGAGATGATCGATACACTTTTGCATTCGATGAAACCATTTGTCATAGCATTCGTGCCACTCCGAAACTGATATCTCCAAAACGTGTGTTTTGAACGCTTCAACTGCTTCTTCTGGTGTCGAAAATCGTTGACCACGTAGTTTTTTCTTCACGCTTGGGAACAAAAAAAGTCATTGGGTGCCAGGTCAGGACTGTACGGTGGATGACCCATCAGTTCGATGTTTTGACCGGTCAAAAATCGAGTAGTTTGAAAAGATGTGTGAGAGCTCGCATTATCGTGATGAAGAATTATTTTGCGACGGTGGTTGTTTTTTCTTATTTCACCAAACACTTCGGGCAAACAAATGGTGGTATACCAATCAGAATTGACGGTCTTACGATCCTCTAGTGGAACGGTTGCCACATGACCACTTCTCCCGAAAAAACAGGCGACCATTCGCTTCGAAGTGCTTCTTGCTCGAACAACTTTCGTTGGGTTATCTTCATTTTGGAAGACCCATACAGTCGACTGCTGTTTCGTTTCGGGCTCATAGGCATATATCCACGATTCGTCACCAGTGACGATTTTATTAACGTCTTTTGAAGCACCACGATTGAATTTCTTGAGCATTTCTTTACACCAACTCACACGAGCCATTTTTTGTTCATCGGTCAATTTATGTGGGATCCAACGAGAGCAAATCTTTTTTACGGCTAAATGTTCATGCAAAATTGTATGTATGCTGTGGGATGAAATGCCCAAAGATGCCTCAATCTCACGGTAGGTCACATGACGATCTTCCATAATCAGTTTTCTGACAGCATCGATGTTTTGTGGCACAACAGCCGATTTTGGACGACCTGTATGAAACTCGTCTTTGAGCGAACTACGACCGCAACGGAATTCTCGGTACCAGTTATAAATTGTCTGAAGGGTTGGTGCTTCATTGCCAAAGGCCAAATGAAGTCGATCGAAACACTGTTGTTGAGATAATTTACTTCGAAAATCGTAGTAAATCATTTTACGAAAATCTTCACGTGTAAAATTCATTTTTTTGTTGAGTCGCAGTTTACCAGTCACTGTAAACAATACAAATAGCGTTCGTACGACAAAAGGTTCAGGGCACGAATACATACCAAAACATCAAACTTTACGAATATGACAATGGTTTACATCGGGCAACACTATAAGTACCATTTTAAAAAAAATTATGGAGCAACCTACGTACTTGGAAGTCTCAATTAAATTTTACTGATTTACTATGAAAATTATTACAGTCACCAATTACTTTTTTTCTTGAAAGTGTAAGACCCTTGTGACCAATTATTTTTTTTCCCTCCTGTTATGCCCACTTCAATCAATCAATTTCTTTTGAATGCAAGTTCGATGAAAGAGCAGACATGACGTGGTTTCTGATAAAAATGAATAAATAAAACCAGCTACTAACGATAATGATATGATATGATTTGACATAGTTTAGTTAACAAACAAGATACAAATCTGATTCACTTTGTAATGGGAATCAAATCGACAGATAACAGATAATGTTGTGATACTGAAACACAATTCGACGCGAAGGTTCTCTTCTTTTTTATCGAAAATTCATTTACAAAGGCAGTGAATTTTAAAAATGGTAGAGATTATTCTCTATATGGCGCACGAAAAATTCAATCCCAACATTAATGTATGATAAAGGTACAGTCTTGACAAACAATTGATGCTGTGAATAAAATTTTATAGGGGTACTGGTATTTACTTTACATGGTATTTTGGAAATAATTTATGAGGCGACGTGCGCTTTCAAAGTACAATTTATTTATTTATTTTTAAATCGCCTATTGAAACTAACTGCACTTATGGTGAGGCAATTAAAAATCGGTGTCTTAATTGCGAAGCAAACGATAAAAAAAAGCATTTTGTTTGAATAAATACTAGAAAAGGCTTATCAGTGGTGAAGAAGATACAATTTAACGACACTTTATCACCTTACGGCTAAGTATATGTACATAATTCGGAGTCTTGTATTATATCAACGAAATGAACACAATTTTGTTATCATTGCGAATAGGTTTTTTTTGCGTTCTAGTGCAGTGCTAGATAAACTTGTACCACATTTTTGAAGATCAGTTGTGGACGATATTTCGTGTTGATCTGTTGTGCTTAATAGAATTTTTCATCGGATTTATAAAAAAGTTATCGGGAGTGAAATCATGCACACCTTTGGTTATTTCATAGTTGGACTTTTGATAGTTGGTTGTACAATTCGAGATGTTTCAAGCAGATCCAGACGGCCATTGGATCCAAAATATCAACGAATATATGATGAAAAAGATAGTGAGATTACTTATCGTTTGCCAAATAATACGAAACCGGAAACATATGACATTACAATAACCACAAGAATTGACGAGGGATTATTCGACTTTGATGGTAAAGTCGCCATTCAAATAGTCGCTCTAGAATCAACAAATAGCATTACCCTTCATTATCGCCAATTAACGATAACCTCTCAGTCATTGCGTAAAGTCGACGATAATTCGATGATCGCATTGGATGATTATAAATACGATAAAACAACGGAATTGTTGACTTTTCCTACAAAAACTCAACTGGAAAAGGATAAAAAATATATATTGACCATTGAGTATAAGGGTGAATTGCGAACCGACCGTGCAGGATTCTATCGAGCATCTTATGTCGATGCAATTGGTCAAGAAATGCAAGTTTTATTTCACGTATTCATCGTGTACCTCTTATTGTGTTCGATATTTTAAATTTTTGATAATATTACACTAGATTTTTCGCCACAACGCAATTCGAATCGACAGATGCTAGACATGCATTCCCTTGTTTCGATGAACCAGCTTTAAAAGCACAATTCACCATTCACATCAATCATGGAACTAAATACAATGCCATTTCAAATATGCCCGTAAAATCATCAAACGAGTAAGAAAATGATGAAGGGAAGAGAATTCAAACTGCAAATTAACATGGTCGATTATTTCTATTTTTAGTGTAAATGGAAGGAGAATCACCGATTTTGAGACAACTCCACTCGTTTCAACTTACTTGATTGCATTTGTTGTGTCGAAGTTCAAGTATACTGAAATTACGGATGGAAGCGGCAACGCGACGCTACAACGTGTTTACACTAGTTCAAATAAGCTCAGTCAAACAAGTTACTCGTTGACAGAAGGAGTGAGCATTTTGAATGCCATTGCAAACTATTTGGATGTACCATTTTCATTGAAAAAAATGGATCAAGTGGCTATACCGAATGATCATTTTGGTGCTGGCGGTTTGTGTTTGAAACGATTTTCCGTTTTCAATTAAATATCATTTAATATAATAATTATTTTTCTATTTTTATACAGCAATGGAAAACTGGGGTATGTAAAATTGAATTTTCATTATTTTTTGCCATTTTTGTCCGCCTTAATTTTAAAGTCTGAAATTCAAACAGTTGAAATTTTCTACACATTTTTCATGTATATTCTACATGTTGGAAATCATATTTGTACTGTCACTATAATTGTCGCATCGTAACAAGCATAGATTTCAGTTAGTCAGCTAGTCAGTTTATAACTCGAACTCAATTTATAAGAGGCTTTCTTGAAGCTTGGGAATTTTACCGAAGATATTCTGATATATTGTAGTTTTAATGATGCTCTTCAAGAAATCTATTTATTCTTTGGATTCTCATTAAAAAGGTGACTAACTGAAATCTATCGATGTGCTTGCTACGATACATATTGGTTTCAAATATTTTCTCTTTTTTTTTTTGAAAAAATTCAGACGATTAAACCATGTGGTTAATGCAATGTAGTCCACAATATCTTTACATGAATGATAAAAAATTATTGTAATTACAAGTGTTTGTTCAAATAACATAGGTCTAGTGACATATCGTGATTCATACTTGTTATACGATGAGAATGTTCATTTATCATTCCGAAAATTTGAAATATCAACCATAATATCACATGAATTCGGGCATCAATGGTTTGGAAACTTAGTAAGTCCACACTGGTGGACATATATCTGGTCAGTTAAAATACCAATATTTTTATTTTGTTCATGAAGTCCTAAATAAATGAAGATTCTTCAATTTTAGGCTAAACGAGGGCTTTGCCACCTTTTTCGAATACCTTGGAACTGGATTGGTGAGTATATTAAATTTACCCGTATTTTGAGATAAATATTTATAGCGCTTGTTATTGTGTCATTTGTACGGTTTTATCATGTCTTTTTGTTCATTCAGGTGCACGCCGATTGGGATGTTTTCAACTACTTTGTTGTCAATGTCGCCCAAAGAGCTCTCCGTTATGATGCACAATCGACCACACGTGCAATGAGTACCTATGCTGAAAGTCCAAATGGAATAAGCAATCTATTCGACCGGATTGCATATGACAAATGTAAATATATTGAGCTTTATATTTTTTACCACACTCGTATGCTAAACATTTTGTTTATCACTATTTCACAGCCGGTGCGGTGTTGCGAATGTTCTGGCATGCGCTCACTGAGAATACATTCAAAAAAGGTCTCAACTATTATCTCATAGAAAAGTGAGTGTTCGTTATACAAATACATTCAGTTAAATTCTGTTCAAGCTTATTCAAAAAAAGTGCCCTTTTGTTGATTGTGGTGCCATCTATTTGAATCCATTTGAAATTAGTTTATTTTTTTTTCGCTCAATATATAAAATAGCTCATATAAAGCGGTCGAAGAATCGAATTTGTTCGAGAGTCTCGAAAAAGCAGCCAAAGAGGATAAAACTCTTGATTCATCAATGAATGTTACATATTTATTCGGTACATGGTCGAATCAAAAAGGGTTCCCATTGTTGAAAGTGTCGAGAAATTATGATGATGGCACCGTATTCCTTGAGCAAGAGAAATATGATAAAGTGGAAGCAGACGCGGATCCATCATTATGGTCAATACCGTATAATTTTGCAACTGCAAATAATCCTGATTTTAATACGACCACACCGTACGGATGGTTAATCACTAAAAATCAAACTTTGACACAAAGTGACAATGAAAAATGGTCAAATAATGAATGGCTTTTGTTTAATCGTCAACAAACTGGTTTCTATCGCATTTTATATGATCAACAAAATTACGATTTGATTAACAAACAATTGAATTCAGATGATTACACAAAAATACACGAAATCAATCGAGCACAGTACATTGATGATTTATCTGATTTTGTGTACAACGGTCGACTTTTGCCGAAAGTTCTTTATGATGCACTGAGCTATTTGGAAAAAGAAAAAGAATATGCACCGTGGGCAGCAGCACAACGTTCAATTTCACAATTGGCTGAGATTCTTGATTTGAGCGAAAAGTTTAACGAACTTCAAGAGTTTGTCAAAAAAATCGTTGAACCATTTTATGTGAGTAAGAAGCTTGAAGCCACCGATGGCGAAGGATTTTTTGAAAAATACTCAAGAAAGATTGCCGTCAATTTGGCGTGTCGCTTTAGTAGTGCACAATGTCTCAATGAAACATACACAAAATTACGAGATTATCTGGACAATGAAATAATGCTGGAACCAGATGTGCGCGGTCTCATTTTTGCCAATGGAATTCGTCAAGCCACTTTATCCGATGTTAATGGTCTGTTCAGCCTTTTTTGGCGCACCGACTCAGAAGATGTACGCAAAGAGATGATTACAAGTTTCGGAAATATTCAAGATGTAACTATTATTGAGACGCTTCTAAATGATACTATTGCTGATATTACATTAAAAAAATCAGATCGTTTGGCAGTTGTACAATCCATTCTTGGTGGCAGTAAAAATGGACTTTTACTTACAATAGAATTTCTACAAACTGAATTGACCAATGTCGATACGAAAATCGGATCCGTCAAGTCTATTTTAGCATCGATGGCCGGAAAGATAACAACAAAAACATTACAAACAAAGGTAATTAGTGATTGAAAGATTTGAATCGACTTTTTCTCAAAATATTCTCATTTTAATTAGTTCAATGCACTTTTGGATTTGGCGAAAGAAAAAGGTCTGTGCGATGACAATGATATTATAAATTATCAAAAAATCGTCACCGAAAAACTTGATTGGGTGGACAACCATCAAAAACACTATGAAGAAGGTCTAAAAGATGGAACTGAACCTCCATCTCCCCCTTCCTCAAATACCGTTCTTATTGTTGTAGTCGGGCTTTTAATCGGTGGAATTATAGTCGTTGCAGGAATCTGCTTCATTCGTTGGAAACGAAATAAGCAATCAGAATAATGTGCAGAAATCATGCGCACATAAACACGTGTCTAAATCGCAAAAAATTAAAACACATAAAACAAGTGCCAATTTTTATAATTTATAACGCCATAACGCTTTATTTTTAATAGTTTTTTTTTGGAATAAATTAAAGCAAAATTAACTTGTCTTAATCTAAGAGTCTTATTTCTGTATATTCGATGTATAAATAATAATTTAATTGATTCAGCTACCGTAGTTACAGTCCATATTATGTGACATGATACCAAAACGTGAGTATCAGAATTAGTAAGTATTTTGTTTGGAAGTGATCATGTCACTTCGCTTGGCTGTCCAATGGGTGTGTGTGTGTAGAATTTTTTGTTGTTGTTGTTTTTTATATGTTTTATTTTTGGATTTGGAAATATTTACAAATCGGCACCGCTGCCAGGCTTTCTTCGAACATATCGTGCAAAGTAGTCTGGTCGCCAGCATTTGCACGAGCCTGGAATCAAGAACCAATCGTAATAAAGACGAACTTCAAAGCAACCAATTTCATCATAACCATCACAATGTATGGATTTTTGATCGCTGTTCAATTGTTGATCGGTGGAACCGTCAGTGGCCGATGAGGCGCCGGCTCGTTTTTGCAAATATTGTTGATAATTTTGGAAATCACCAACAGACGGTGCCGGTGTGCTGGTTGTTGTCGATACACCAAATTCATTTGGATAATAAATTTCGGCGACAAGCATACTAACCCAACGCGGAGATGACAAACAACCACCATCCAAATAATGACATCGTGATTGTAAACAGCGTGTCACTTCAACAGTTTGAGTAAAGTATCCTTCATATGGAATTTGAACAACATATCGCCATGAACCTTGATAATTCTTAGCAAATACGGGCGTTGCATACTCAACTTTGGCCGGACATGGCGTTGGTGGTCCCTCATAACTGTAATAATAATCATAAATGTAATAAAATCAAATATGCCGCGCAAAATGTTGAATAAAATTTACCGTGGTGCATTCAATTCTTCACGCCGTTCTGCTATTTGTGGCGTACCAAAACCTTCACCTTGAATGGCACGGTACAATGTACAAAATACGCCGCCACCAGCACCATCACATAGTCGTCTTGGTTTTCGTTTCTCTTCGTCTTCGCTTGGTGTACTTCTCGCTTTGCGTCCAACCCGATTTCCAATGCTAATTGAACGAAATGGTATATAATATTAAGTCATGTCTTTCCTGCTTTTTTTTCATTCGCTCTTTTTATTTGTACAGTTGATTTATTTTACCCGTTATTGTCAATGACGTCGATTTGTTCATCGAGAATTTGTGCCACTTTTGGCAGAGTATCGTCAGCTTTGAGTACCGGTAATGTTTTTGATAAGAAATCCAATGTACGATTTCGAATCAATTCACTAGAATATACAAAGGACCAAAGATAATCAAGTGAATCAATTTTAATTTACAAAGCATTTGACATTTGTGTTCATTTCTAGTGGAATATTTTAACCGAAATGAAATCTTTACTCACAACGGATATGGTTCGCCCAATACATTTTGTCCCATTGGATTTCGTGGTATTTGACCCTTATTCAAATCACCGCAAATATTGTGCACTGATACAAAGGCATTTTTGCTTGGTATATCTTTGCATTCGAGATGAACATGAGTGTATGGTGGTGGACGAACGCTCGGCGGTATGGCTGAGGCCGATTCAACAAACGCATAGTACCTTTTTGAAAAACCACAAACATTTTCCATTTAATTTTGCTCTATTGCTCATCTCTGTTTCTTCCTTTGGAGAATTTCATTTGTAATTAAATCGATTGAAATTGCTTACCCTTCTGGTGGTTCTTCATCGTCGATATGTGGCTCCTGTGTCAGTACAACGACAGCGTTGTGTAAAAACACAACAATCTGATCAAAGAAAATAAAAATAAAATCAACAACATTTTAAATGAGAGAATATCGCATTCGATTGTTGGTCATGACATCATTTATTCAACAAAGGCTATGCTATTTGCTTCGCTCAATTTACGAGCATTCATTCAAATTTCTTTGGAAGAATTTCAAACAAAAATTTTAATCATCAATAAAGCGCACCCAAAAAAAATGGTGAGAGAAAATAACAACATCACGGTTGTTGGTTAAATAGCTAAATATATACGATGTGTGAGTGCGTATTTCCAACGGGTTCACACATCTATACAACCAACGACAATAAAGAATAAACGAAGAATACTTCAAACACACAAAAAAAACCACAACGACAATAACGACTTGAAAAGAATCTACGGTGAATGAGAAACAAGAATCAATGCGCGCACGAAGAAAGACTGTAAGAAGAATCAAGGTGAAAAGAGTGCAACAAACGATAAACGTACCAAAACATACGAAGCAACAAGCGGACGATTCGTAAATAGGTCAAACTATTCTGAATTTTAAGCACATAAATAATGAAATTAACATTCGGTGCCTCGTCGATATGTTGAATAAATACAGTGGAAAAAAAGCGAATAAAAATTAAATAAATAAATAAAAAAAAAACATTATACGGTGTAACATAGAACGGGAGTTTGTTCGAAATTAAAGAATCGGAATAAGAAAATTCCAATCCAGTTGGATGAAGATTGTTGGGGCGTACACACAACCAAGTTTGTTATTCTTTCAATCCAAACATGAGCACAAGGAAAGTAGTTAATCTTTTTTAATTAATCATCATGTGGAATGCGTTTCGATGATAATAAAATCCGCTAAGCCAATACCATGTTTAGCTTCATTTTAATTATTCCAAATGAAGAAGAACAAAAATGAGTCAATAGTCAAAACGGAAAAATAAGATTTCCAGTTATGGTTTATGAACCGATGACGCGAATGAATTTTAAATCGCCGTTCTATGTTGGTCGCTTTGTTATGCGCTATATATTGTATAAGACACCCAATTTTCCACAACACACACACACGAGCAGACATACACATACACTGAATCGAGCGATCATCAATTCATCTACAATATTTTTTCGCTTGCTTCAATTTTTCTATTTTCAGAAGTATTTTTCAGCAATTTTTTTAGTGGACGAATCAAAATGCCATAGAGAAAAGTAAAAATTCATTGTGTTTAAAAATCCATTGAAAATGGGAACAAATCCGAATAAATGGTTCTTTTTTTAAAAAAAGCTCGTAATGTGTCGGTATTTATACGGGCGCTGATGTTGAACGATGAATTCTAGGTTACCAATTACAGTTACCTAAAAATTTATGTGATAAATGGAAATAATTATATAAAGAAAAAGAAGAAGTAGAAAAAGAACCGATCATCGCACTCTGCGTCGGAATCCAAACATCGACCAATCAGAGAAAAATGCGTTTACACACTACCATCTTATCTTCACCACAAATTATGTACCATTCAAAACGGTAAAAACTAGTATAATCATAATACAACATTGTTTGGATGGCGATTCCAACGGAATATATCAAACATTTATCCGATTGAAAAAGAAGAACATAATTCTGATGCAAAAAGGACAACAATAGATATTTCAATCTGAAATTGAATTTATTGAGCACAATTTGATGAATAGAATTGTTGAAAGAGAGTAGACAGTCAATGGAATAACACACTTATTTTTTTTATGTGACATACCAAGTAGGCCGTGCTTGTTATTTTACACACGTACTTGGCACACAAATCGACTTCTAGCACACACAGAGAGAGAGACACACACATGGTTTTGGAAATTCTGGAGACAAATGCATTAATATTAGCCATAAATATCTTATATTCACTCAATTTGAACGCTAAAAACACTCATAAAATCATTTTCAATGCAGAAAAACAGCTGAAAATTGAATCACATACAATATGAGCCGTTAAACGATGCAATGAAAATGTTGAAAATAGAATTCAAGTACAATCTAACAATTTTTCTCATGTAATTCTAGTTATTCTATATCATCTTACCAGAAAAATGTATAAATTCATTTTTTCCCGTTTATAAAACTACACCTAATATATTCTTTGATTTATAAAAAAAAAAAAACAACAATAACAAATATACGAAACGGTTGTTTTTTTTTCTTGTTCAACACACTCGTTGATTCAATTCCGAAAACGATTCTGCTCGCATCGAGCTGCAAACGTACACTGAACAACCGAAAACAATTAGTTTTATTTTACTTGGGCAGATTTGCTTGCTTCTCTGATTGAATTCGAGAGAAATGTATGGCAACGAACACCTTTTTTTCTTCTCTTCTGTGACGATTTGTTCTTTATGCTTTACCGTTCTGCTTTTACCGTCGAAGCACTCATCAAGCTCACCTCTTGGTGATGGTTGTGTTTAATTCACATACAAATACATACACGCGACGATCGACGTGATGTAACGCGTTCTTCGTCTTAGATACATCGTCGGCCATAGAATGCAAGACTTGGCATTCTTCTTTCTTTTCCTTCTTCTGAGTTTTACTATTTCTTTGTTGCTGTTATTCTCGTTCATACCTCGTTGAATTCGACACATTTGCACGGAATCGAAAATATGTATAAAAAGTGTTCTTTACGGCATTATTTTATGAATAATTTGAACACAATATTCAAATAAAATCGGTTAAATGATCTAAAATTATGTGGATTTGATAAAGGGGGAGTAGGAAAAATGAAACAAACATCCAAGCACTGACTCACCACAATGACTTGTCTCACATTACACATTACAAAATAAGAAAAACGAAAAAAAAAAATGTGAAGTTCGATCGAGAAACAAGCCGGTAAAAATACAAAGATGGCTTCATTTCCATACCATTTTTGTGTGTCTTTCTTTTTCATGTCTCCCTGGTACGAGTGAACGTCTACAATAATGGTCGCGCGTTGGCGATCTCAAAACTAGTACAAATCGTTTGATCCCATTTCTATTCAAATTATTTATAATCAAATCATTGATACTGTGTGTGTGATTCCGTGGATCATTATTGTGCTTATTATGAATGGAAAATTGATGGTGCACTAAGTCACATAATTACGGGTATTTTGCTACGGTAGCGTAGTCATCGGTTTTCAATACACAGAAAATTGTTATACGTGCTCGCTGCAAGCGCTCGATCGTGTATGTATATTATTGTGTTGCCATTTTACTAATTTCGAATAAAAACAATACAACAACCAAATCAAAAGAAAGACAGACCGAGAGGGAGAGCGAGACATTTTCGAAAATGTTAAATTCTAAATTTCAATAGTTTTGTCGCCCAATTTGTCATTATTATATACATTCATCTTAAGTGCTATAGCAGAAAGTAGGCTTCGCTTGTACGATTCATTCATCTAATAGCATGGCACATTGTCGTACAATTTGTTATTAGCCTTATGCACAACAAAACAGAACATGATGACTCACTTTGGTGAACGCCAAAATGTCACATAATTGTAAAACAAAAACGAAAAATATAATGAAAAAAAAGTACAGAAAGTTAGACAGAGAAAGACATTCAGTTCGTTCTATCCAAGTCTTAAAGAATGTTCATTAGTTTACCACACTCGCATATAATAAAAACACCTCGTTTTTCTCATTAAATGCTCTAGATTTTGTTTCCTGCTTTGTTCATTCTTTTAACACTTACCATGAACTCGAAACGAATTGGCTTTGTTTACATGATTTAATCAAGAAATGCGTAGAAAATGCGAAGATATTGTGTACGCATCTGGTCACAGTTATTTGCAATCTCTTACCTTAGAACGAACACGATTCAGACAACACGATCCAAGCTCAAGTCATTTATGATACCAATCACGATTCTTTCATTTGATTTTCACGAGAA